GGGTGTGCAGGTGCCTCTGGAGTAACTTGTGTTGCATTCCTTTGGGCATATCCCCAGGAGTGGGATTGCTGGATCATATGGCAGGTCTATGTTTAGGTTTTTAAGAAGTCTCCAAATTTTTTTTCAAGAGTGTTTGCACCAGCTTGCATTCCCACTAGCAGTGGACTAGGATTCCTTTTTTCCCACATCCTCACCAACACACATTGTTCGTGAATACCATATTTTCTTAATTTGTTCATCAATAGTGGGGCATCTTGGCTCTTTCCATAGCTCAGCTAATGTGCTGTAATAAACATGGGTGTATGGGTGCCTTTGTATAACCTGAGTCACATTCTTTGGGTATATCTGTAGGAGTGGTGTTGCTGGATCATATGGCAAATCTATTTTTAGTTTTTGAAGAGCCTCTATATGATTTCCATAGTGGTTATTTTAGTTTACATTCCTGCCAGCAGTGTATGAGGGTTCCTTTTTCCCTTCATCCTTGCCAACATTTGTTGTTGTTTTTGTTCTTGATGGTAGTTATTCTAACAGGAGTAAGGAGGAAGCTTAATTTTTTTTTCACGGTAGTAAGGTTTAAATTCAGGACCTACACCTTGAGACACTCCACCAGTCCTTTTTTGTGATGATTTTTTTTGAGATAGAGTCTCACGAACTATTTGTCCAGGCTGGTTTTGAACTGTGATCCTTCTAATCTCTGCCTTCTGAGTAGCTAGGATTATAGGCGTGAGTCACCAGCATTCAACTCTTAATTGGTTTTGATTTGCATTTCCTTTATGACCACGGATTATGAGCAATTTTTCATGTGTTTTTAGACTTTTTCCTTTGAAAAGTCTCTGTTCAGTGATTATTTCTTTTTTAAAACAGCGTTACTGATATACAACTGAATTCAAAGGGTGAGATGTACTTAATGTGTATAATCTGGTGAGTTTATGCATATGCAAATACACTATCACCACGAAAGGAAATAGACATGGTTTCCTTATCTGCATATGTACTTCATCCATCATTGAGATGCTGGAACTTCTGGTTTTAGTCACAGCCTCCAATTATTGAGTAGTAAGTGCCTTGAAGATGGTCAGCATGTAATGTATATCCCCCAGTTGTGAGAAATAAGTTCTCATTAAAACTGTAGCATATGTTACCTTTTGGGGAAAAGGCTCAGAGTGGGACAGGAATTCCTAATCTGCAACAGCATCATGAATGTCGTAAGAGGACTAAACCCATTAACACAATGTAGAAATTAATTTGTTAATACATAAACTGTAGCATTTCAGCTCTATTAATTATTTCCATTTGTGTGACTAGTAGATATGTCATTTTTTGTCTTTCCTTGTAGTGACACTCACCATATGGATCCAGAAAATAATACAAGAATTTCAGAGTTTCTTCTCTTGGGATTTTCCGAGGGCTCAGACCTGCAGCCCCTCATATTTGGGCTTTTCTTCTTCATGTATATAATCACTGTATTTGGGAACCTGCTCATCATCCTTGCCACAATCTCAGACTCTCACCTGCACACACCCATGTACTTCTTCCTCTCCAACCTGTCTTTTGTGGACATCTGTGTAACCTCCACCATCATTCCAAAGATGCTGGTGAACATCCAGACAGAGAGCAAAGCCATTAGCTATGCAGGTTGCATCACCCAGATGTACTTTTTCTTGCTTTTTGTAGAGTTGGACAACTTCTTCCTGGCTGTGATGGCCTATGACCGATATGTAGCCATCTGTCACCCCCTGCACTACATGGCTATCATGAATGACCGATTCTGTGGGTTGCTGGTTCTGGTGTCCTGGATCATGAGTTTCCTGCATGCATTGTTGCAAAGCTTAATGGCACTGCAGCTGACTTTCTGTAGAGACGTTGAAATTCCCCACTTTTTCTGTGAGCTTAATCAGGTGGTCCAACTTACCTGCTCAGACAACTTTCTTAATGACATTGTGGTGTATTTTGCAGCTGTGCTGTTGGCTGCTGGTTCCCTCACTGGTATCCTGTACTCTTACTCCAAGATAGTTTCCTCCATTCGTGCAATCTCATCAGCTCAGGGGAAGTACAAAGCATTTTCTACCTGTGCATCTCACCTCTCAGTTGTCTCCTTATTTTATTGTACAGGGCTTAGTGTGTACCTTAGTTCTGCTGTGACCCAAAACTCATACTCAACTGCAAGAGCCTCAGTGATGTACACAGTGGCAACCCCATGGTGAACCCATTCATTTACAGTCTGAGGAATAAAGATGTCAAGAGTGCTCTGAAAAGGCTCTTAGGAGGGGAAATATGAAAGGACCCATTACTTCAGAGCTGAAGAAGTATTCATGAGTGCAGAACAGAGTAAAACCTCAGAAGGAGCTGATTGGTCATATGGTGGAAGTAGGACTTGCTCCTTCTATTCCTGGAGTTTCCATTATTCTGCTTCCAGCCCTTCTATACAATGTAAGGTCCTATATTAAGCTGTCTGTGCTATCTGGTATTCCACAGGTTTCTGTTGCCTGATTTTCTAAAGGTATTTGAGACATTGAACCAGAAATATTTGGATATTCCCATTTACCATATGGGTCATGAAGAAATTCTTCAAAATAGTTTTCTTCCAAAATGAGATGTGTTGTATTGAATAGAAGTTCTTTTTTCCTACTGAAAAAAGTCATGAGTTTTTGTCCCTATGGAAAGAGATACACATGGAAACTAATGCAATTTATATAATTAGTAACAAAGGAAAAAGTGGTCAGAATTTTTTCTCTTCTCTTTCTATCATTCTTTGTATATCATTTACCTTAAACTACTTCTTCTTCCCCCTCCCCCTCCTACCTTCTCTTTCTCTAGTTCAAACTCAGGGCTTCACACTTAACAATGCAGGAGCTCTACTGCTTGAGCTACACTTCCAGTCCATTTTGCTCTGATTATTTTGGAATAGGGTCTTGCAAACTATTTGCCTTTAATCCTTCTGATCTCAGCCTCCAAGTAGCTATGACTATAGGCATGAGCCACTGGTGCTCAGCTTTAAATGCCTTTCCTGATATGTGGACTTTAATATATTAGTGTATTTTATAAGTAGTGATTTGGTTTTAAAAATTCATTAACTTTTTTGCTGTGCTTGGGCTTGAACTCAGGGTTTACACCTTAAGCCACTCCACCAGTTCCTTTTTTTGTGATGGATTTTCTCACAAATTATTCCCCCAGGCTGGCTTCAAACTGTGATCCTCCTGATCTTTTCATACTGAGTAGCTAGGATCACAGGCATGAGCCACTGGTGCTTGGCTAATTAATTTTTTGATTGACAGTATTTGTATATATTTATGGACTACAATGTGATGTTTTGATTTATGTATACAGTAGATAATGGTTTACTCAGGGTAAGTATGCTATCTACCACCTTAAATTTTTTGTTCTCAATTTTTGATTTTGTCAGTGTATAATATTGACATATGCCTCTTAGCTAGATTTACCCTCTCCATTGTTCTCCTGTTGTCTCCCTTCTTATAACAATTTCAACAGGTTTTACTATTTTGTTTTCATGTATGGACACAAAAAACATCCACCATATACATCTTCATTCCCCCTTTCCTTGTGCTCACTCCCGCATACTAGTACCCTACCTTAGAAAAGATTTATTTTTCCCTCCTGACTTCATTTTTTGAATTAGTATCACCTTAAACTTTATCAGTTATTTGTTTTGAGCACACCCAAAATCCTCTCTCCTGACACTTTTGATATATACTATGGAATATTGGTATCTATAGTCACCCTATTATTCCTCAAAACACCAGAACTTATTCTTTCTATCTAGCTATAGCACTGGTATCATGTTTAGGATACTGTGTCAGTTTTGGCTGGGTATAGCACCCTGACTACCATAGTCACAGACAAAACAGGTATCTACTTCATCATTTCTCAAAGGCAGACATGTTTATACTCTAGAAAACAATTTTGAAAGGACACAAATTTATAAAGGTGTAGTGGATTAGAGGTTATTAGACATCAGAGACTGAGAAGGGGAAGGGTGGATGTGACTACACAAGGGCAGTGCTAGGGACCTTGGGTTGGAAAAACTGTTGTCTTATATCTTCTTATTAGTGTTCATATCCTGGGTGTGATATCATACAATAGTTTTGTGTATAATTATGCTTACATAACATAACATATGGAAAATGTACTCCTGGCAATGATGATCTATGACAGTTCTGTGATGACTGTCACCTCCCTACATGACAAGACTGTCATGAAAATGCACTCTTATGGCTCATGGGTCCTGGTTAATGAATGTCATGGGTTCTATTCCCATGACCTTGATCATTTTGAGGCCCTCCTTTTGCACAAATATGGAAATCTTGCACTTTTTGCTGACCTTCCTGGCAGTCTGAAGCCCACATGTTCTGACTCTTTTATTAATGATATTGTGGTATATTTTGTGACCATCATTATTGGTTAGCCTTCTTACTGAGATCCTTTCTTTTATTGTCATATTTTCTCCTCCCTCTTGACAACTTCATCAGTAGGTAGAAAGTTCAAAGTCTTTTCCACTTATAGATCTTACCTGTTGGTGGTTTTCTCTTCACTGGTCTTGGATCTGCCTCAGTTCTGCAGCCACTCCATCTTCTAGTCAAACCTTAAAATGATAATAATTAAACCTCAAAGGAAAAAAGAGTCTTCTCATATATAAGAAAATTCTTTCCCCAAACCCTTTCAGTTTCTGGCAACTACCCATATTGCTTCTGGAGACTCCTACTTCAGAGTCCTTTAAAAAACATTTTTATTGTCATATCTTAGTTGTATAGGGGATTTTGTTGTGAAATTTCCATGTATGCTTACAATGTAGCTTGGTTAGGTTCACAACACTATCATTCTCCCTCATCCTCTTCCCTCCTATTTAAAATGATTTTGACAGGTTTCAATGTTCTATCTTCATAAATGTATATAAAGCACATCAACCATATTTACCCTCTTTTACTTTCTCTATTCATCCTCCCTTTCCCATTAGTATTGACCCCCTACTTAACAGGACCTGTTTTACATTTCTGTCTTTCATTATTTAAATGTATATTCATTGTTCAAAGGGACTTTGCTCTGTTACGTCCCCAGGGAACATATTGTACTTTAATCAGTCTAGCTCCCTCTATTACTCTTCTTTACTCCTTTCTTCCTCCTTATTATTCAATATTTTTAGTGCATTCTTCCCATATAGATACAATGTATTTCAGTGTTATCTCTATCATTCTCTTTTCCTCTCCCTCATTTCTCTTTATGCCTCAGTCTCACTATTGAAAACATTTTCCACACACACACATATGATCATGTTTGTATTTGCATATATGTTTATCTTTAAGATCTATTTTCCAGCTAGGAATCTCTCTGAATAGCTATTCTTATCTCAACTAGCAAAAATGCTATGTCTTTCTTATTATTGTTTATGTCTTCTCTTCAACAAAATTGGAGAAAAGGGCAGAACAGGTTCTGCCTGGAAGCAAGGGGGTGGGGGAAGAGAGGGGAGGAGGAGAAATGGCTCAGTGTATGCACATATGAATAAATGAATAAATAAAGAAAGATCTATCTTCCACATATGAGAGAAAACATGAGACCTTTGTCTTTACAGACTGGGCTTACTCTGCTTAACATAATGATCTCCAGTTCCATCCAAGTGAAATAATTTCATTCTTCTTTATTCCATTATATATACATGTATATCTATATCTATATCACATTTTCTTATTTTTTGATGGTACTGGGGTTTGAACTCAGTGTCTCATGCTTGCTATGTAGGCACTAAACCACTTGAGCCAGCATCTGCTTTACATTTTCTTAATTCATGTATTGATTGTGGTGCATCTAGGCTGTTTCTATAAGCTTGGATATTGTGAACAGTACTGTAGTAAAGATGAGTGTGCAACTATCTTTATTGAGTGCTGAAGAAGTCTAATCCTCAAACAGGAAATATCTTGTCTGGTGCTAGAGGCTGAAGAATACAGTAAACACTAGACTAAGATCTCTTAAAGTTCCCTTAATATTTTAATTTGATTTTCTTTGAGTGTTAGTGAAATTAAGTACATTGTCATGTTTACATTTATGAGTTAATTTCAATTATTTTGCTTCATGCCAGGCTCAGGTCTTTTTTATCATCTATCATAAGAATTCCAATAGGTTCACAATATATGTTATTGTTAAGTTTTAATGTACAATGACAATATAAATACACATACCTATACATACACACATATATGGTTTTATTTTACTTTTTAATTATACAAAAAATGGCATTTATCATGATTTTTTGTACCTGTCTACGATGCAATTCCATTATGTCTACTTCCCACCACTGTCTTTGGTCCCCCTACTACCTCCTACTAGTCACCCTCTCCACAAATAGCAGATAGCCCCCTTTGTAAATTCATATCATTCTGTTTGTTTTATTGTTTTAAAAGTCTAGATTCCACCTGTGAGAGAAAACATGAGATATTTGTCTTTCTGAGTCTTGCTTATTTAGCTTGATATGGATCGCTATGGCTCTTTGATTTTTTTGTGCTTCCATACAACTATTAGGATTGTTTATTCTATTTCTGTGAAGAATGACATTGGAGTTTTGATGTGTATTGCATTGAATCTGTAGGTCACTTTTTGTTAATGTAATCACTTTTGCAATAATAATTCTACTGATTTATGAATATGGAAGTTTTATTCCATCTTCTAGTATCTTCTTCAGTGTCTTCTTCAGTTTTTTATAGTTTTAATTACAGTGATAGTTCACCTTTTATAGTTTGGTTTACTCCTAGGTATTTTTTAAGGCCCTTGGGAATGTGATTATTTTCCTGATTTCTTCCTTATGATTAACATTGTGGGTATATAAAAAAAAGCTCCTGTTTTTTGTATGCTGGTTTAGTATCCTGCTACTTTGTTGTGTTTATCAGTTCTAAGAATTTTTTGTTGAGACTATACAGTATAAGATCATATCACTTGCAAATAGAGATTATTTGGCTTTTTCCTTTCCTATTTGTATCCATTTGATTTCTTTCTCTTGCTTTTTTGATCTGGATAAGAATTCAAAGCACTGTATTGGATAAGAGTGAAGAGAGTAGATATCCTTGTATCTTTCTTGATTTTAGAGGAAATAGCTTCAGTTTTTCCCATTTGGTATAATGTTCCATATGCAGATTTCATTTTAGTGGAATATTTTCCTTCTATTTCTAGTTTCTTTTGGGCTTTTATCATGAAGTGATGT